AATAAGGATTTTTATTTTTAAAGTCCTTATTATTCAGTAAGGATCAAAAAAATGTTTATTATATAATAAGAATTTTTATTATTTAGTAGCAATAAAGGCTTAAAAAGATCTACACAATTGCCTAGTCCAGACATATGTATTTGTAAGTGAAGGTAAAACTGAAATTTTCAACCCAATGCTAATAAATTGTTACAAAATGTGTATAATATTATGAGTAATTATTATTAAGCATCAGGAGTCGAGCACAGAAACAATACCTAATTATTTGTTATTCGCTATTGTGCCACCACCTCATAACTACCTACCTACTGAATTACAAAAAAAAAATGAATTAATTTGAGTTTTATTTGAAATAAGAAATTATTGGATTGTTTGAATTGAAGTATGTTTAATGACAATTTAAATATGTTTTAATGTGGAAACTTCTGTGGTCGAAATAGACATGGATAGTTCATTATTATTTATACCTAATCAATAAAATATTGCTAGGCACTAAGTACCTATGTTTTGAACAAATCAGCTGACCACAGAGGCATTTTCACAAGCACATAATTTAGACAAAAATTATTGAAAACACATCACTGTCTAACCGTGACTACACCTCATTATCCAAGACAAAAACTAATTGCTAGACATGTCCTAGGTAACAGATTCTTTACAAGCTCAAGGTCACACCTGATGTGGTTGGAAGAACAATAAAGTATAACATTTTAACACTAAACTGTCAGTTAAAAGTCCATTAAAGTCACACGGACATTGTAAAGATGTCCTTTGTATTTACGTAAGTAGTCATTACTCATATTGGTGACCGATTTACAATAATTTCAATTACAATGTCATTTTTGAAGGACATCTGTTTTGGGTAATGATTTTTTTTTGTTGTCCTGAATCTGGTTAAATAGGTAGTTATTGTTGAATTGTTTTGTGGTTCGAAATGGCCTAATTTCTTTTGATGATTATTGTTGAATTTAAGAGGTGGATTTTTAAATTAAACTGTTTAGAATACAGAAAAATATAGTTTTATTGAGCAAGAATTTTAAATACAACAATCAATCATAGAGAAAAACGCGGGAGAGGGAATAAAAAAATGTTGCCAACCTAACAGTTACAATTATTGCCAACAGTACAAAATAAAGGTTGTGTTCTCAAATACCTACCAACAATTACGATGTATGAGAACTGGGTAAAAATGTATAGGTAATTTGACGCTTTCCCTTGAATGGTAAATGAACATAAATAGATAACCTTCTAGAAAGGTAAAATAATTAATTCTAAATAAAACAGGGAACTTTATAAGGGTCTTCCTATCAGTTCTCGGAAAATAACATTAAGCATGTGTTACGTTTATTCGTAGAAACAATTTTACACTCAAATTTAATTCACGACAAAAATCTTTGCTTCATTCTTGGTTCGAGTTCAACCTTTTGATTTATTACCCAAAAAGTCGTAAACGGGAAAGAATCCACCGTGCGACTATAAAAGTGAAGTCGGTGTCGGACTGCGCAGGTGCTGTAGGGGGGCTCCCTCCCCCCTAAGACTCGAGAGGTTATGTAAATTGTTTAACGAAGGATGCCGTTACCGGCTCGATGGTGCACTTACACCATTAACATTTTAAAGCCTTATTTGCTAAAAGTACACAATTACTTGTGCATTAAAACAGATTACTCCCGACTTAAAGATTCACTTTAAATTATTCTAATTAGTTTGACTCTCTCGTTTAGTTGGAGTTTGTTTCAATTGTAAGTTGTACCTAGGAGCACAGTTTGTTTTGTTTTTATTGGACGCTTGTTTCGCTTGCTTTCTTCTATCCTGGTAACTAATGCTTGCTTTTAAATTAGTTAAACGTAAACATTCTTACTAAATCTCTTTTTAAATAACGATAATATGTCAAAAGGCAAAAATTGCTCGGGCCTTGTATACGACTTGACAAACATTCAACGAGGTTCACAAATATAGATACATCATATTGACAATATCATCCAAGCATAGAGTACATACCCATTAATTAGAAATCCAATTACGAGAACTTCAGATATATATTATATACACAAAGATACTCTTCATAATACACCTACCAAATATTCTTTGATGCTTATAAATACGCAGGTAGGTATAGGTACTTTAGTCAAAACATTTCGAAATTAAATTGAATATTATTGCCAACAACTTCATACCGAGCTGTCGTGAAATAATTCCCGTGTAGGTATATATTAATATTAAATCCGAACTCAAATTGAATGGGGTGGAAAGCGGCAGGTATTAGCAGAAACATGTGGAATTACATACGTGGAGTTTCCACGAACGTTCCGTATTACTAGGAAACTGAAAATTAGGGGAAATTGTTGTTGTTATTATTATTATTATTTAGTAAGTATTCGGTTTATTGTTTTGGTGTTAGCGTTAAATGGATTGAGTTAAACCTTTGTAATATGAAGTGAGCAAAGTGCGTAATTAATTACTACTACTGAAATTGTTAATATCAGATATTTGAAACCAATGGATGCGTTGAATAGTCAATGTATTATATTTATAACTTAGTGACATATCATATATGTATATATATTTAGTCAGTAGACGTCGCGGCAGGCCCAAAAGGAGATGGCGGGACGAATTAGACATCTATAAAAAAAAGCTTTACATAGAGAGGAGTGGATGTATTGTAGGGAGGCCTTTGCTCTGCAGTGGGACGATCATGGCTGAAAATAATAAAAATAATAGTGACATATCAGACTAGCCTTTTCCCTATATTTATTTTGATGATAGCATATTCAGTACGTTGAAACATTTCCAATCGATTGCCGCGAACATTATTTTTAACCAACTGACAGTACATATTTCACGGTTAGAATAGAATTTAAATTTCTTCGGAGTTCACTAGAGGGTGCGGCGCACTCAATCTTTCCCTGCCAAAATTCGACTTGGCATCAAAAATGTATGGTTACGAGGTATTGCATTATCGTCGAAAATCGCGCGATTTCCAGTTTCGTTTTCTCGCTAAATTTTCGTGATAATCTTGGTACGAGTGCGCTGATTTCATCGACATGAAATATTTGTTACCTGAACGAGGCGAGGGGTGCGTCTTTATACCAAGACGTATGGAGACCGGAGACATTGCTCGCGCTCTCAATTATTACTGATTTAATGTCGCTTTAATTTTACTTTAAGAGAGACAAAATGTAAAGGTAGAATTTCCAGGTTGTTGTTTCACGCTCTTGTTGTGAATAAATAAATAAAGATCTCGATACCTATATATGTGCCTATCACAAACATCGTATTCTTATGACGATAGAATATACATTTGGATTGTAAAGAAAGTAAGACAAAATTATTCGTCACCGAAGTCCAGCAACATAGTTCATTCCTCGCTCGTTTACTCCTACAAACTGAACAGTCTCGGCGCCTTTTCAATTTCGCCTCTCACCTGCCTCACTGGGGGATTGAGAGTCCCCCAAATGTTGGATTTTACGCGTAATACTCCCCTACACCGTGCATTGTGTACCGCACTCCTTTGACGTTGAAAATTTCACGTCTGTCTGTGCAAACGTTGACGTGTGTTTGTAGTTTTTTAATCGTCGTTCCTTCTGACCCCGTTTTTGTGCTCATTTTTTCGGCCTGATTTTGGCGGGCTCGGCACATAACAACGAAATGCAGTAGTGCATAATTTGTGCAATTTTTTCGTGATGATTAGCCTTTCTGTTGCCTGTCAGGTCAACAGCAACGCGTTTTTCCAATTTGTTCTGACATTTTGTTTGCTTTAGTAAAGGATAAGCCCCTTTTCCCGTGGGTGTCGTTACGAGTCGAGTGTAGTAAGTAATGGATTAAGTCAGGTATAGACAGCGGCCCACACCGGTGCCCGATCATTGATCCACTTGATAAGCTCGGATTATGGTTTATCTCTTGTAATCGTTTGTTGGGATCGTTATGGGTTAAAGGCTATCGGCTTAAGTCGTGTAATTGGTGTTGTTTCAATGTGTGTATAGCGTCTTTATCCTGTACTCTATATTCTGCAGGTGTTAATTTCGAAATGCGACAAAGCTCGGACTACCGCAACGTGTTAATACATAGTTAAACTTCAAATGTAGGTCAGAACACATCACCACCGTTACCTCTGCTGCTAATACACTTGTCAGGATCTCGGAAGATTTAACGGCATCAAAAATTCGTATGCATCGAAACGGAAAATGCTTTATGACCGACACTATACGAGGTCGAATGTCGTAAATTTCCGAGTTAACCCCTCCACCGCCGAGCTTGGAAGGTTCAAAGAGTACATATTTCAGGATCACGCCTGGATTTCTAACGATACGCTCATGTGTACGACAATGCACTTCGATATTGTGCGATGCAAATTCGAACGTGATATGTGTCCGACAATAGAGATTTTGTTCGTTTAGTTGTCATTGCTCTTTTTTATTTACTATTGCTATGACTATGAAAATAGTGTTTGAATTTAAATGAGGGCGAGACAAGGCATAGGCGATATCGAATTGAAAGATTTGTTATGTAAGATCACTCGTCTATATTTAAACTAAGGGCCCGAATTCTTATTGTGTGCTCGAAGAAAACATGTTACCAGTTACCACAGTAACTCAAACAATATTTGGATAATGGTCTCCATGATGATAACTGAACATTATTTAGCACTTAATGTGTGACGTCACTGAATAGATAATTTTTAACAGATTAAGGTTAAACGCTTTACTGACGTATGTATTTGATTTTTTGGAGGTTATCTTTATGAATTGTTGTCTTTATGTCAATCTGTTTGTATCTGACAACGTTTGTAATGAAATTTATGGTGTCGGTGTTAGGATTATTGCAGTTTTTACACACGTAACTGCTAGTGAAAATGTTGTTTTATTATTTTACTTTTAATGGAATGGCTTTACATCATAGGCATTCTCTAAAGATTCCTAGGATATTATACTAATTTAAGTTGGTAAATTCTGTCATTTCCATTATTAATCAGTCATGACTAACCGTATCCTTTTCTATTTGTCAACAGAACGCAAGTTATTCGTGGGCATGTTGAACAAGAAGTTGTCTGAGAATGATGTGAGGGCGTTGTTTGCTGGCCACGGAGCCATCGAGGAGTGCACCGTGCTGCGTGACGCACAGGGCCAGAGCAAGGGCTGCGCGTTCGTCACATTTGTGTCGAAACAGGCCGCCATCGCCGCTATTAAGGTAAATAACATACATAATTACATAACGTCACACACACATATACATACATAAATAAAATATATACTAAATTAAATAAAAGTCGCGGCTTACTCACGTGAATATACTGAGAAAAGCTCTTCTAGTTTCAAACCACAGAGGGGTTCTTCCTCTTGAGCAGCGTGTGCGGTCGCGGCGATGTTGCGCAGCCTACTAAGTAGACTGCGCGCGATTTTTAGTTAATTTAGAATGTCTCACGATAGTTATTATAAAAACATAATATATACTATACCTCCATCCTCCAAACAATCCAAACTACAGAGTGAACTCTATAGTCTCTATCTTCTGTCCAACTATTCCCGTGGGATAAAGTGGACGTGAGCTGTCTGAGGTCCATGCTCAAAAGATAAAAACGGAGTTTGCACTGTAACTAAGGGACCGCTATCCTGCATGATATCTCATGATCAATGATAGTTAGACCGTTAAAATTTACAGAAAACGCAGATTGTGCGAAATTATTAAAGAAAAATTACAAATTATCGTTTCCAGGCTTTACACCACAGTCAAACAATGGAGGGTTGTTCAGCGCCGTTAGTCGTGAAATTCGCTGATACACAGAAAGAAAAGGAACAGAAGAAATTGCAAGCCATGCAGGCGAGCCTTTGGGGGCTAACGGCACCCATTGCTCCTGCGACGTACCTCGCCTCTGAGGCAGCACTGTCGCCCGCAACCCAACTGCAACTGCTGCAGCAACTGCAAGCTGTTGGGTTGCAACAACAACTACTACAAGGCCAAGGGTCCACGCTGCTGCAAGGTACGCACCTAAACAAATTAGTTTTACGATTCTATTTTCAATTAATTTTTAATTCTTACGTAGGTATCTGACGCTTCTTTTCGGTTGTAGATGCTTTTTCAAAACTTATATTGACTACTTTTTCTATTAGTATCTGTACCATAATAATATTATTTCTATGAATAAAGAATTTGTGTACGATGTTTCTGTGTAAAAAGATATACAAAATATGAATTTGTAACTTTTATTTGACGTTACAATCTGAAACGAGAAAGTAAATATTTACGAAACAATTCATCATTGTTATGACTTGATTGTGACGTTTATGATACCACAGATAACATCAAATCCCCCATGGTTATTTTTTATCTTCCAGTTTTATTTTCTATACTCAGGAAACTTCGAATAAATCCCAATGTATTATGTACACTATGGCATAATAATGTGCATCATAAAGCAAAATGAAATGACATCAACATATTATTACTTTATACAAAGAGCCAACAAGACCGTTGGTTGGACTGGTTTCGGCTTATCAAGCCGTGACGCAGTGTTTTAATGATTCATTTAACCAAATGAACATTGTTTAATTAGTGATACACTCGTTTTTATGTTTTGTTTCCTTTCAACCTCATTTTACCTCATCCTTGGTGTTGCCGTTTTTAAAAACATTACAGCAACTGTGCTGATGCAACCAATTACTGAATTAATTGATGATGGCAACACCTTTCCCTTTTCCCGCCCTTTATTTTTGGTTCTATTTTTTTTATTTACACTACCCTTTTTTGTTGTCACATAGGCGTAAACTACCAAGATATTGGTTTCAATGGTGCAGGCCTGAGTGGGAGCACGGTGAGCGGAGTGGGATCTTTAGGTGGGGGTGCGGCTGATCAACTTGGGGGTCTTTTAGCCCCCGTGTCAGTGCAGAATCTAGCTGCGCTCGCGGCCATGACGCAGCCGCCGGTAGTGACGCAAGCTGCTGCTATCCAGCCTGCCAGCGCGCCACAACAAGCTGCACCACCATTGTGTAAGTTGTTAATTATTATTTGCATAGAGGCCAGTTATTTTAATTTTTATTTTATTATTTCCGCCATTTTATGGCGAAGGTATTTATAAGTATAGTTATAAAAATAAGTAAGTAGTTTTAAATAGTAACGTATGTAACCTTATTGTGTATCTATTGAAGTTTAAGAAATTACAACTTGTGTAATATAAAGAGTATGTATTCCTAACTTTATAGACTTCTACGTATTAAAATAATGAAAACAAATAAAATATTGTCAGAGGCCTTAACACGCCTGGGTTGTTGCTCATTTAACTTTATGACGATACTAAATTCTTGACCTACGTACCTACATGCACGTCGTGATGCAATTTACAACTATGCATTACGTCACCATCAGAAACACCTGTACAAAACAATAAAATCTAAAAATGCCAAATCATACAACCCAGATGTGATACCAAGGTTATTCTGGAAAAATCTTTTAACTCTGGTGGTTTACCTCCAAAATGTAGCCATATTTGACATTACAGCTGTCACTGTCATCCAAATGGCTAAGACAATCTGTATTCAGCCTTGTTGAACTAACATTTAAAATAAAAAAGAAAACATGTAACGATCTTTTTGTCCGCAAAACTTTCCTCTTTCAGGTTTCGTTTCGACTTAAAGTTAAAAAAAAGTTAATTAACGATGAACATTTTTCACACTTCAGGTCTTCTCGGGAAGACTAACATCACAGGTAAAAATGCAATGAAATAAAAACGACATGATTGTGTGTGTTTTTTCATGGAATGATTTTTTTTAGCTTTACTCGTAGATTCTTGTGATAAATGAGTTTAGGTAACATAATTTTGAATTCTGGTTGAAAGAACTCAAGTTTAAAATTAGAATTTCGAAGTGCCCAACTGGTTTCATTTTTAAAATTACTATGTAAATAATATTACAAAACAATACAGCACTGTCATAGGTCATTTTTTAAACACGACAATGTTCTAGTATTTGCATAAATTATACTTTGAACGAACTTCAAATGTATAAGTATGTAAGTAGATAGTATTGTTTTACTGCAGAATAGGTATTCTGCAGTACTTACCTTGAAGTTGACTATTGTAATATGAAAAACAGACTGTTTACCTGACATCCAAGGCTGCAGACTTTGTTTCAAGTATAATGGTAAATGTGCATCGTTTATCACATGAATCTAGTTCTCGCCTGGTATGATTCTATGTTGGCATTGTACAGAAATATTGTCTACCATCGCTTGCTTTGCAAAGGCTAACCTTATAAAATTAATATAATCTTTATGTAGGTACCATTAGAAAATATAAATTCTCGGATGTATTCTATTATTTTTTGTACCTACTGGGAATTTTGTCACGTTATTATTAGGATTTTTGATTGATATTATTGAAATATCGATGCCGTATTTATGACCACATTTTCCGCTGATTGAGTTTTTAATTAGAGCAGTAATAATAAATACGGTTGATTTATATTTAGCGCAATCGTAAATATTAATATTAATAATTCTATTCGATTTATGTCGATGTCGTCATTAATATTGCAATCGAATATATTCATCGAATGCGGTTTTTTTTTGTTTTTCTTCGCCAGATATTACCTACTTTAAATCATAGTTGTAAAAAAATTTTTTTTTTAATGTCACATATTCATTACATTGTAAATAAATAGTAAATAACTGCGATACAAATCAGTAGGTTTTGTATGTAAAATTAACACTTTGATTGTTTCTGCATGAAAGTGCTAAAAACTAAATTTTTATTCTTATTTTTATGAGATTTTCGTGAGTGTTATGTTAATGTGTTTCTTTTTGTATTTTATCTGTGTGAATGATTACTAATATTGTATGACACTGTCTATGGCATGCAGTGTTTGTATGTAGTTTGTATTTTTGTGTTCCATTTGACAGTTTTGGCATTATATGGATTACCTTTGCCATAACTTTTTTACTATGTAGTCTGTGTACTATTAATCCGACCATAAATAATTTAATTTTCGGCAACGATAACTTAAGGGCAAGGGTCTCAAAAGCAGTACCTAAACGTAACAGTTTTACAAAGTTAATGAGTAATGTTTTTGACGTTTTAAACGTAATCCTTTGCCGGTTTATGTTCAGAATAAATTTAGCTCCTCTAAACCTTAACGTTTATTTAAGTAGCTACCATTAAACTAACGTGTATATTTTAGGTAGCGTAATTTGACAGCGATTTAGCAATAAAATATATACGCTCGTTTTGTAATCCTTTTAGGTACTACTACCATTTGCCTGACATTTAATATTTCTTTTTTTAGTATGACTTTATATATCGTTTTTTTTTTTTAATTTTGTAAATAAACATTTAAGTACTTACATTTTTTTCTAATTAATATTATTAGATAAGTAGTTAAACAAGGTAAGTAGTTTCGTAAAACTAAGTTTAACACAATTCAGTTATTCAATAGAAATTAATGAGCGACGATTCTTCCAGCAATCATTAATCAAAAAACATCAACTCCCCGATTACGATGACACCTTCTAAAAAAAAAAAACTTATTGACTGACTGACAACTCATTTTTTCTTCCCTAAACATAGCTCTTGTGTTGACATAGCCAAAATAACATAAATAAAAGTCTATGAAATTCAAAAATCGAATATCCAGCCAGTCATAAAAACGGTAATACAAATAAAGCCGTCCATTTACGAATAAAACTTCCCATTTATAAATGTCAATTGCGAATAATTTTTAACAATAAAATTATAAATTCCAGGGTCCACAGCTGAGCCTCTAGGCTCGGCATACGCTGCGCAATTCGGCACAGCTTTCGCAGCCGCTCCACTTGGATCAGTGTTAGGGTCTGCTGCCGCCGCAGCCGCTGGGAAGCAGGTTGAAGGTACGGGTAATCTTTATTTTGCTGGTAAGTGTATAATAAGCCAGCACCTTTCAGGCGACTTTAAGGGAAAATCACACATGCTACTTTACTATTAAAGACCATAATGGATTACCAAAAGTACGACTTATATCATGTATTTGTGTAAATCTCTCAAGCTTCCGAAAACGCAGGTAAATCGCCTCCTAAAGTAGCCTGGTGCTTTACCCTTTTGGTCAATTCCCCTGGGTGTCGTAAAATATGTTAATTTAAGAGCTTTGGAAGTACAATCCTCTTGGACTAGCTAAATTATTCTATCTATAGGAAAGTTCTGTTCAGCTTTGTGTAATGTTAACCTGATATGATAACTTTAGTGAGAAAGACATACGCACAGTGCCTCGCGTGATAAGCAATGTGGAGGTATATCAATAACCGATGTCTTCTAACATGCACGATTTGGTCGTACCTACATAAATTTTTGAACATGCGCCAAAGTTTGGCTAATCGCCAATTTCCTGTTCCAAACGTTAAGTCGGACTACATTGTTTTTTTTATCCACTTTGCCGAAGCAACTTCTAATCGTAAAAAATATTTAAAAAATTTGTCACGAGCGTGTCAAAGCAAAAAACGAAAAGTAGTCTTCTAAACAGTCTTCATTGCATTTTTGGTTACTTGTTACACTTACCCTCGAGATGGTGAACAGATTTGTAGATTCTACCATAAACCTACTAATATGTAGACCCGTTATGTTATTAATCCTTATGTATCTAATCTGCCAAATACTGGACAAATATCACAATCTGAAAACCTAATAAGTAGTTACCATAAGCAATAGTATTTTATCTAAGAAACTTCAGATATTCGTATCATTGTGAACACAAAACACATACTCGAACTCGTATCATTAATGGCACCTGTTGATGACATGCCCTCATGAGATGAATCATCATCAACTTCATCACCACACTTTTGATCTCAGTACACTAATAATGCATAAATATTTACCATCCTCTGGATATTTACCCTCACACACGATTTACTACTTCCACGACATGAATTTGGGTAACCTATTCCGGGCGGAAACTTAACAGCTGTTTTCAAAAGAAATCGACGAATTAAAAGTCAGTGTCCGATTACAATGTGACTCACCGATTTCTTTCTGGAAAGAACGTGAACGCATGAATACAAAAATTTCATACAAAAAGTATGAAATCTTTTTGCTGGTTTTTTTTTCTGGCCAATAACCAGATGTTGCAAAAGTACAGTTGAAGATTTATGTCAGAATTAATTAGTATCTAGCCTAGATGTGTTTTGCTAACTACTTGTATTACATCCTACTAATTATCTTTCAATGTTTTCAGCTCTATAGTAACTAAACTTGTATCTGAACTTTGTTCGACAGGACCTGAAGGCGGGAACCTGTTTATATACCACCTGCCTCAGGAGTTCACCGACACGGACCTGGCGTCCACCTTCCTGCCGTTCGGCCACGTGATATCGGCTAAAGTGTTCATAGACAAACAGACGAACCTGTCAAAGTGCTTCGGTTTTGTCTCGTACGACAACGCGGCGTCCGCGCAGGCTGCCATACAGCCATGAACGGTTTCCAAATAGGTACAAAGAGACTCAAAGTTCAATTGAAACGTTCTAAAGAACTATCGAGACCGTATTAAATATTCCAGAACTCGTTCCTAGTGAATTTACAAAAAAAGAGTAAAAACAAACTTTTGCAAAGAGGTTGTAAGATTCCGAACGTTTGTTGTGATGTATCCGGTGCACTTGAACTGACTTGTTTGGTAAGGTACGTTCGCAACGGTCGAGTCCACGTGCACAGTTGTTAACTAAATAAGAATAACGTTAAGGTTTGTGTCAAAGGATTTATCGTTTCCAAAGTATTCCCCAAATTGTTTATTATATTATTATAATTATTATTTTCTTAACATTTAAGTTTTAGTCACATTAAGCATAAGTTAAAGGATCGATACATTTCGCAAGCGCCAAAGAGCTGGTGATTTTGAATGATTACCATAATGTCTACACAATCATAATATAACTGGCGAGGAAATTGTTTATTCATACACAAAGATGTAATTTTCATTATCCAAAGTCTCGGTCGGTATCGAGGTACCGTGTACCGAATAGTATTCGCTTATACACCGTTAAGTTCATTAGAACAATTACTTATTATTATAATAATTTTTATTATTGTTACAGTTATTTTATTTTCTTTTATTTTATGTTACCAACTTGATAGTTAATTGTAAAATAATACCTATACCTAATTATTGTGGCCATTGTCAGTTTTGCAGTCAACATTTTTTTCGTTTAAAATTTTAAGTGTTTAGATTAACGAAGTGATCTCAAAGCGATCAGTGTATTTATTATTTACATTACTTGTTGTCAAATAGTGTACTTAACATGGACGTGCGTGGATCCCATCTATGTCCCGTCCGTAATCTAACTGCCCGACTTGAAGATACTTCGAATAATTCAGAAATACGTACATTTTTTCTATTTATGAACTAATTCATCAGTGGGATATATTAACCTTCAAATACATAATGTATTATTTTTAAGTTTTAATTATCACTTTATGAGCAACAAACACAAAGAAAATTATAAATATAAGTTTACTCTTTTCTAGATAAGATCAAAATTGACGCGAATAGGTAACTTAAGCAACTTTCCCGTTACTTCGCACAATATTCGAATAATGAATTCTGTGTCGAACGGACGGTTTCAGAATTACGAATAATTTTCATGAATAACATTCTGGAATATTTGAAATATCTTCCGGGCTTTACTTAACCTACTATTGTGCTTGTTTTGTGTAATTAAATGTAATACTTTAACACAGTCAACAACTATATAACTAACAATTTTTAACACATCGAACACTGGCCCTTTAGTCAAAAATTTTTGTTAGCGTAATAAGTATTTAATTATAGAAATATTTTCGTATGTAAGTTTTTGGTATTTCATTCTACTTCTTAAAATATGTTTCTATTAAATACTGTTCGTCACTATTTACCTAATAGTCACCGGCACATTTTGATTGTTTCATATTTTTGTAATATGTTTACGGATTGGTTGTCACGGGGATATATCGCGTTGTTGTACCTAACAGAAACACCTATTACAAATGTATACAAAAAGTTAAGATTTAAAGTGGAAAACGCCATAAGCATTATATTGTGCGCCGTCACATTTTGACACCTGTCAAAATTACATATTTCAAGAAATCATTCTTAATTTAAGCGTACTTAAAAAATGACCTTTTACTGTTTGTTTTACGCAAAACTGTGACTTCAACCAAACAACTCGTCTGAACATGCTACTACGATGTTTACCCGTGACACTGCCCGCAAATGTAAAATGTTTACCTTCTATTATTAAATTAGCTATTAAATTAAGTATTAATTATGTTTATTACTTGATTACGACCATTTTTATTGTTATAAAAACGCTCAATAGGTGAGAAATAAGGGAATTAATTTATCACTGGGGGAACACTGAATATTTATTTTTAATTTCTATTCGTTTATGAAAATAATTAAGTTTATGTCAATCGATTTAATTATTTTTGTTAATAACTTGTGCCAATGCGTTTGTTTCAAAAAAGAGCTACGACCAATCTTAAAATCTATTAATGTGGATTTCTTTAGATGTAATTAGTGATGTACAAAGTCAGTCTTGCATCAAGACGAAGTTAGCAAGACGTGAGAGACAATCCGAGAAAAAATATATCCGTTTATTTATTCAACACAGACCAAACCACTGCGGGAACGCAGAATATGGTTCTTAATTACTTATTCTTACTTTGCGCATCACTAATCATTAATTATTTTCTAAAAGAACTGATGTAGAGAGAGCATCAATATTATAACTTAATTAAATTTAGTTGAGTATTATTAATTATTATTATACAAAAAGTTTATCAAGATGGGTCTATATTATTTAGTTTAATTTAGTCAACGTTTTTGATGTCTAATGAAAGACAATACCTAGACTGAATAAGTTTCCTTCTTAGATGTTACAGCGATACAATTTTTGTCATGTGATTCCTTTTAGTAAGTTCATTAGTCGACACTGTAAACATCTATTTTCTTCGTCTTGCAAATGTTATTTTCTTGTTGTTAAGGTAAATAAATTATTATAAAGGCATGTACGTATTGTTAAAAGTGGACATTGGGAATATATAGAGTAAATGGAGCTACGATCCTCGACACGAACACTCGTTTAGTCTCCTAAAGGTGCGTCCATATTATTGGTGGGACTGTTATCTAGTGTTGCAACTTATTTTTTCGGGACTATTCTGTGTTGAGACCTTGGAATCGTGTACATAGTAAGTAAATACGTTTAAGTAAACGCATTGCTTTCGCAGTCTGCACTCCCACGAATAATATTAGCGAGCCCCCAACGTGTGATCTAGATAGACGTCAAAAATATTGTGAATAGAATTTTTTACCTACAATTTTCTAGGTGTTTGACGGGGAACCTTATTGTTGCTATTGCCTGAGTTTTGTACCACCAAATGATTGGAAAATGCGTAAACTTTAAAGGCATCTTTGTTTGAGATATGAGTATCAAAGGTGACTCTCGAGTTACCGACAGCTTGCTTCTATCGAGATTCGGACCAACGCACATGATATAATTTAGATGGAACTTTCAACCTTTGAGGGAACACCATAGACTCAAGAAAGCATCGATTTATAATCTGCGGTTGGTTCGAATGTCGGTACATCTTGACGATCACTGTCGTCAGGAGCCTGTAATGTTACCGATCAAATGCCATTAGCTTATTTTCAAGCTCAACGTTTTTCTAAGCATTTTATATAAATGTCGCCTGATGCTTAACAAATTTATTTACCTATGAACCTAGTAACTATGTAAAACCTGATTATGTCAAAGAATAATGATTTATTTGTGAAATTTCTTGCTGAGACCATCCGACGCATAAGTCCTCGCAAATTTTATTAAAAAAAACTAGAAGTCATTTTTTGTGACGTAAGTTTTTGTAAAAAAATGTCGAGGATTGAAATTATCATTGATGCGTCTCATGTACTATGGAAATCTGTAAATTAATTATTTATACCCAGATTCTTACAACTACTTACTTCTACGTCTACTTACATTGATTTGTAATAAGAAAACCTTGGATGTGTGTGAGCTTAGCCGACTTTATTCGACTTTACGAGTATACCCAAGTATATTCAAAAAATTAAATTATTATGTAATTTACTTACCTTCCTTGATACAAAATTCGAATGATTCAAGATTTTTTGAATATTGACTATTGATTCTATAACAACATGGAATCTGGGTGCATTATGCAATCTATTGTTTTTTTAATTGTATACATTATAAGGCAAAGATAAGCTTGATAGTTTATATCGAGTCACGGTATTTAAAACAGCATACTATCTAAAATTGAAGCAAGAAAATAAAAATTATTTTTACATTCTCGCGGCACCACACTAGATATAAAATTGGTATGGAAAATTATAAAAGAACTGTTTTATACAAACACCCGTTTTGTTGATATGAATGTAAATAAATGTCAAGTTAAATAAATGTGTTTAATTTTTTATCCTACTCGCCACATGTGGCGACCCCGTACAACCTAGGTTACAACAGAGCCCTATAGAACTAACTAACTAGACTACGTAGGATAAAATCCTATGACCTACGCTCTATACTACGATATAAGTCTATGCTACAACTAACCGCTACGATGAAACTATGTTACGACTGAGCTCTATGCTACGATAAACTACACTACGAGGCTACGACTGTGCTCTTAGCTACGATGAAACTACGATACGACGGAGCTCTCTGCTACGGTAAACTACACTACTAGGCTACGACTGAGCTCTTTGCTACGATAAAACCTTATACTACAGGTAATAAGTCCCTACGACTGACTGCCAAATTACGATAAAACTACGCTACGACGTAGCACTACACAACTAGTGCTACGACAAACCCCTATGTTACGACGTAGCACTATGCTACGAGTGCTACGACAGAGCCCTATGATACGACAAAGCGCTATGCTGCTCAATAAAACCCTATGCTAAGAGATGTCCGTAAGGATTGAGGAGCCACATCACATTTTTAAAATCTGATCTCGCCATTATTTAGCAGCAGTTTAGCTTATTTTGCAGCACGAATTCTAGATTTAGCAGCAAAATATATCACTAATTATTTTAATGCAAACATGGCTCCTCAATGTAAACGTTTGAATTGAGGAGCCATCTAGAACTCGTTAAGTAATAGATGAATATTTATGAAAATTTTGTATCATTTAGTAGTAATTTTGCACATTACCATATAAAAATTTGGCTTCTGTAGTGCTATAAATGAAGAAAATACAATACTTTTGTGCTATCACTAAATTATTTGCTACGTAGGTACGCTATAATTTAATATTATGATGGTATGACCAAATCCTTATTTTTTAACCAAACAGAAAGGTCTAAGTGAAATGTAAAATATCTCAAAATCGAAGTCCTATCTAAAAAAAGAAACTAAATTTTCGAACGCCCCGAATCGTAGGTAATTGAGCATCCGGTAACCTCACCACAGGCCGTGGTATCACTCCGGTCGAGCCGGCCCATTCGTGCCGTAGCATTGGCTCACCCACTCTTATCGTATGTATCGATTTGTAATAATTTACCTACCGTAGGTGTACAACGTCCCAATATAAGCCCAATATAATGGTCAAAGGCTCACCCTTCATTACGTTGGACTCATAACATGACTGATGATAGTACAAGTAGCTATATAACATTGTGAAAGTGCGCCTTAGCCTATCCCATAAAAAAACTGTAATTTCGAGGTATTTGTACCTATTGTGGTAGGAGATTCAAAACAAGATTTCATTTAGATTAGATCAGTCCTCAACGATTTATCCAGTCTTTGTATTCATGTTGATTTTTAACATTAGTCTATTCAATTTCTTCCAAAAAGTACCTCTTATAAAGCGACACAAAGATTTTGACGTGATATCAGTAAGGACGTTACAAACAGGCGGAGACAATCTCTTGAAACAATGACTGTGGCACCAGGGTGCTTATTTCAATCCAATAAAATCTCAATAATTATTCTATGTCAAAACTATACAACCCTTATCGTAGCTGTTAAATAGCATTCAGAGTACGGAATGTAAAGCCAAACTCAATACCATTTAGTTTATTAAATATCTACTCAACACGGATGCAAGGGGCGCTAGTGTCGCAATTCAAGAGTACGAAATTACACAATACCAATGTCGATCGATCGGAATTAGATTCAAGATTAAGCCCCCCTGGCTACTATAGACTTACGCAGAAGATAAACACATTGACAAGAATGATATCGGTCATTTTCTTGGTAATAATCCATCACACACGCACACAAAACACCACTGACATTTTTGTGCTTCAATCATTTCTAACTGACATATCTTATGTCTACCTTTTTTCAACGTCCTCGAAAACCAGTTAATAAATACGCAACGATAAAATAAAAAAACCAAACACAAATTAATAAATAAACTATTTATTTATCACTTATCACAATCACAACATCAATCATTGCCATACTTTTCAGTATTTTTTTCCTTAAATGACTTGATTTCTTCTTCTTTTTTTTCTTGTGTGGCCTCCGGGCTTTCTAGGACCGTCTTGACAGATTTGATAAGACCTGTGTTGTCGGCTAAAGGTAGTATATCACATATGAGTGGGGACTCAACGCCTAGAATGTAGTGGCATGTTCTAGGTTCCAATAGGTATAGGGAAACTTGAGCTGGACTAGAAGAATTTTCTAGACATTTTAGCTTAACTTCAGTCTGTCTAGGCTTGCCTGTTTTATCGCAGACATCTCCATTGGAGTAGAAGTGTGACACTGATGTGCGGTATTCTGAAAAAAAAGAATATTATAGTTTTATTAAATAAAGGGGGCATCAGCGTTTATATTTTTAGAATGATCTCATCGTTATCAAAGTCTTTTCAGATTTACTCCCTGCTAGGTCTACCCTTTTACTGCATACTTCTATTTTGATCATTCCCATTTCTGTGATATTATATCTTTTGTTTCTTTTACTACCCTACGCACTTTCAAACGACATACCTACACGTAGAACCTATTTAGAATGGTATAGAAGTCAAAAACAGGCTTTATTTCAAAACTAACTCCAAAAAGTTTGTTTCTAATTATAAGTTTGAAATCACCAACCCGCATTGAGCAAGCGTGGTGATGCTCAAACCTTCTCCGTGTGAGAAGAGGCTTGCTCAGCCGTGGGCATTTATAGGCTTTTGATGACGACGATGAAATCGCTGAAACAATCGACATTCATCCCTATTCCAGTAACATTAAAATTCTAATACATACCAACAGGTTTAGGCGCCTTTCCCTTGTTCTCCTTGATCCAGTCGAGATGGGCCTTCTCGTCGAACTTGCCTAACAATAGTGTGGTCTTCTCTCCCGTGCGGTCCACGTGGTACTGGACCACGTGCTTGCCGTAACAGAACTCGTATTTCCACCAGCCAGTACCCTGGAATTATAAGTGGTTGAGAGATTTATTTTAAGGAAATAACTAAGTATATAATATTTTATTCCGAGAGAGGTAGACTTTTTTGTAAGGGGAAAAATAATCGAATAACTTCTCCCGCCTGGGTGAGGCGGGAGGGAGTGTCAGACTCTTATTGACTACTAGCTGTTACCCGCGACTTCGTCCGCGTGAAATAACGACTTCTGTATAAATTGGGTTTTTTAAATTAGTCTTTGTCAAGGTATATTCTACGGCTGTACAACTGGAACAAATATCATCACAATCGATTCAGTACCTAGGTTATATTTATTGAGAAATGAATTTATTTTCGTGGTTTCTAAAATAAACAATCCCATGGGTACAGTGCCCGTCTCGTGAGGTTTCACTATTCTATGTTTGCAAATCAATGTTGTATCGCATTTCAATCAAATAGATATAGTGATTTTAACAGCACAGTTCCCGGTTTCGTGGGTTTTTCGAGTTAAAAACTTTTAGATGTCCTTTCCCGGGTCTCAAACTATCGCTGTACCGAATTTCACCAAATAGGTTCAATGGTTTAAAAGGTAAGAGCCCCTCTTTATTTCAACGTCCTTGGTCCCGGTTTTTTAGCGCATAGTTTCCGTCATTTTGGGATTTCCTCTCTCCTATAATGTGACCTGATATGTACCGGTGCGACGTGCGTTACTATCGCAAACATTTAAATGAAAAAATAGGTATTCTGATATTAGGTTAGTTACATATGATACATGTACTTTAATGTTGATATTAATGTCCTCTATAAGACTTAATACATCCCTTGGCTCTATTGTCCATAATTTCCACAGCGTAATCAATACATAGACAGAAGAGCTTTAATAGAAGTATAAAAAATAATTCGAGATTAGCAACTAGTTAGTACGCTGATATAATTGAACTAGTTGATATTATTCACCATTTGATGGTCAAAGGCAAATAACAATGTGACTTTTTCCGAGTTATATGCACTTTCTAAGATTATTCAGACACCACTGACAAACGGTGAACGAAAACATCATGAGGACACCTGGGCTTATAATTTCTAATTATGAGTTTAAAATTGCCAACACGCAGTGAGCAAGCGTGGTGATTAATGCTCAAACCTTCTCCGTGTGAGAAGAGGCTGTTGATAATGGCCCATAAGATCTGTTACTACTATTAGTACCTAATGTAAAAACGACTCTTAGAAAATCACAGTAAAAAACAATATTTAATTCATAAATTAACTATAATCGCGGGTTACTCACGTGAATATACTGAGAAAAGCTCTACTAGTTTCGAACCACAGAGGGGTTCTTCCTCATGAGCAGCGTCGGTTGCGGCGACGTCGCGTCGGAGTGAGCTGCTCGAAACTAGTAGAGCTTTTCTCAGTATATTCGCTTGAGTAACCCGCGATTTTAGTTAATTTAGTGTCTCACGATAGTTATTATATAAAATTCAGTTGTAATTGTAATACTTACACCATTGAGACAATTCTCCCCATTCAGGAACGCTCTCACAGGCGAGTCATCTGTTATGACAGGGGCCGGTTTATCAGACAACAGCGGCTTGCTATCTTCAACTAAATCTTCATCTTCATTCAATGGGTGCAGCTCAAATTTAAGATGTGTTTCACCATCCTGCAAGAGTTGGAGTATTTAAGAATAAAGCTGGTTGGTTGGCATAGATTTATAGGTATCTATGCCAATGTATGTCCCCAAAGCTTAAGCATGTGTACTGTCTCTGGGACGACTTTATGTGTATGACAAATAGACCTCATTTATATTTCGACCTCCGACGTACACCGCGATTTTACTTATATTGTATGAGTCGCATTTTTTCTTATTACTCTATAAATAATTCCAAATAGTAAAAATGTAATAGAATAAACATTAAAAAACTGGTTAATATTTTGTAGGTATTAAATAAATAGGTAGCTACTTAATTGTAAAAAATAAAATCATATTTGTACACCTGACCTGGGGGCTTACTCTTGAATCCAATTCCGATCGATCGACATTGGGATTGTGAAATTTCGTACCCTTGAGTTGCAACACTATCACCCATTGCATCCGTATTGCGTGAATATTGAATGAATATTGAATGAACTAATTGGTATTGAGTTTAGTTTTATAATCCATACTCTGAATGCTATTTCAACAGCTACGATTGTGGTTGTACAGTTTTTACATTGAATAATTATTGATATTTTATTGGATTGATATTGTATTGACATTGAGATTGATTTCTAGAGTAAGCACCCAGATAAACATCTAAACATGTACAGCCCTAATGATTTTATTAAAGTCTTGCATGCTCAATTTGTATATTGTACACATGTTGTTTGACAAATAAACGTATCTTTATTGTTGGAATACTCAACTGTAAGTCGCGCTTAAGTATAGTTCTGTCTCCACAAATTCTTTGTAAAATGACAGAGATGGCACGATATTTAAGCACGACTTAAAATTGAGTAACGTTTTAGTATTCCGGGATATGATTTCTATTTGTCTTATAACTAAATATGTTGTACTTGTACGGCTTACTCGCGAAACTGTTAAATGATACCTCATAGGTACCCCTCGACGAGTAATAAACGTCGTCAGAGCCTCAGTCATGACAAACGATGCGTGATCTGTATGACAACCGACGCAGCGAGTGTCGTGCAGCTAACTGCGCAGTTCTGAGACAATAAGCAGACAACTGGCCGCGTTCATGACTATAGGCCCCGTCTAACTCGAAACTATGTAGTTGACTTACTTCGCCGAAAAGTTATATGGCTAACGCCCTAATACTGAAAGGCTACTCAATTTTAGTATTTTCAATACCGTGACATCACTGTCTTTTTACAATGAATTTGTAGGGACAGAAACGGAACTATACTTACTTAAGCGCATCTCAAAATTGAATATCTAGCCTTTCAGTATTCAGGCGTAAGCTACACGACATACATGACCTATATTCATTATATCCGAGTACCTATGTCCTAAAACTGTAGCCAGCAACTGAGAGATAGCAGTACTTCTAAAATATCGATATAATATCATCCCTAAGCTAAACCTCCTCTAAAAAGGGATATATTCTGACGATGATAAACTATACTGACTCTATCTGTCAAATAACTTAAAAAATGGAACTGGTTTAGGAGTCCTCAATTCGTCTGCATTTTTTACAAAGAATTATAACAGACGCAGCAAAGTTATCAACAAATTACGCATAGAAGTTAATATTGAACGCTTTAAGTAGTGAATAATGAACACTTTATCGATGTTTCTATAATAAATATATTACCTCTTATTACATGGTTTATAGAGGACAAGTAAACATTAAAGATAATTATTTGATTTTATAGAACCTAGTAGGTAACACGCTTTTTAATACCTTCATACTATTATATTTTTATTATATTAACTATAAATCGCGGGTTACTAATAATAATAATAATAATAATAATAATTCTTTATTTGCTCAATGTGGTACATGATATAGATGTTACATACAATATATTTAGATCAGCACATTTACCATTATTGGCATGCAAATTGGGTACATTTAATCTTTACTGTAGATTAAAATAAAATACATGAAGGCTACAATTTTGGTTCATAAACTAAGTACACTTACTGCTCTTATTTATTTCTTTCTTTAAAACTAAAAGATTTACATTTGTTTTTTTCTAAAAATTCGTGGATTGAGTAGTAATTTTCTTTAATTAGCCATTGCTTTAATACATTACAAAATTTCTTATACGGAAGTTCAGTTATAGATTTAGGCAACGTATTATAAATTAGAGGAGCCATATAAACACAATTCCGTCTAAATAACTCCAATCTAGGTGAAGGCACTTGAAGAAGTACGCATGTTGCTTTTCTCTTATTTACATTATCTTTAACTTGAAAAAGCGAAGGATTGGTTCTTATGAATTTAGCAATTTCATAAATATAAATGGACGGGACAGTTAACAGCTTATTAGACTGAAATACAGGCCTACAGGATTCAGACCATTTCAAATTAAATATTGCCCGAATGCATTTTTTCTGCGCTATAAACACTCTAGAAATATCCGTAGAATTTCCCCAAACAATTATTCCATAACGAATTATTGAACAAACATACGCATGGTAAACAAGAATAGCCGTACACCTTGATGTAACGTCTTTAACCTTTCTCAAAGCAAAGATAAACTTATTAATCTTATTACAAATATTATCTATATGGATTTTCCATGTAAGGTGTTCGTCAAGAATAACCCCTAGAAACCTTGCACTGCGAACCTGTTCAATCATTTGACCATCATATGCAATATTTAAATGTATGTGTTTACTTTTCCAAGTTTTAAATTTTAATACATTCGTTTTCGTTACATTTATTCTTAGTTTGTTAATGTCTAACCAATTAGTAATATCTTTTATTGACTCATTTATAATGGTATCATAGTTTTGTGGATTTTTGGTTTCTATGATTACTGTGGTGTCATCCGCAAATAGAACACACTGATGTTTAATTGCTTGTGGTAAATCATTTACATAAATTAAGAATAATAATGGTCCCAAAATACTCCCCTGCGGTACACCGCATCGATTTATGAGTGGTTTAGAATCAAATATTTCTAATGTGTTACTTATCTCATTAAATTTTGTAATTCTGGTTATCTGTTTCCTATTACTTAAATATGATTCGAACCATTTTTGAGCTGAACCTCTGATACCATATCTTTCCATTTTCTCAATCAATATTGGATGATTTACTAGATCAAACGCCTTACTAAGGTCCAGAAGTAGTGCACAAGAAGACGTGTTAGAGTTAATACTATTCATTACTGCTCTTACAAGTGTATATATAGCTAACGTTGTTGATTTATTTTGTTGAAAACCATACTGCTCCTTTGCTAGAATATTAAACTTATTTAAATATTTAAGCACCCTTTTATACATAATTCTCTCGAATACCTTCGACAAGATTGGAGTTAATGCTATAGGTCTATAGTTATTTACATCAGATTTGGAACCTTTTTTGTGTAACGGTTTTATCAACGACATTTTTAACCTATCAGGGAAACATCCTTGTTCAAGAGATAGGTTGATGATATGAGCTAGTGGTGGTGATATATACTGGGATATACATTTGATTAAATCTGTTGAAATACCATCAAACCCGCAGGATTTTGTGTTTTTTAAGTTCCTGATTATCTGACAGACCTCAACATCGTCACTAGGTTCGACAAAAATACTTTTATCATGTGAGGTTACATTGGAAATTTTTATTTTACTATTGTCAATATTATTGGAACCTTCATAATTAGCAACGTCAACGAAAAATGTATTAAACGTATCAGCAATATCTGAGCCAGACGCAATAATAGTGTTTCTATATTTAAGAACATCCAGACTATCTCTACCTTTTATTTTACCCGTGTTGCGCTTTACAACGTTCCATGTAGCTTTTACTTTATTATGAGACTGAGCTATATGTCTTTGATTACATAGTGCTTGGAGATTATACATACACTTTTTTAATATTTTAGAATAGTTCTTAAACCTATTTTTATTTTCGTTATTTTTATTTAGGTAGTAGATAAATCGCAATGACCGCTTATTTTTGCTACTAGTTTTAATTCCTCTTGTTATCCATTTTGGTTTATTAAAATTGTATCTTTTTTTTACTCTTATACTCGGAAAACATAATTTATAAAATAATATCAACAGGTCATGAAACTTTCCAAATGCTACATTTGTATCTGACGTCTCATAAACTTCACCAAAACTTAAGCAACTAATACAATCTATAAACTTATTTACATTTTCCTTGCTGAGATCATCCCTAATCACATAATAGTACCCTTTAACATCAATAGTTTGCTCAATAATTGTGACTGTTTGGGCTGTATTATGATCTGATAGATAAAAATTATGAGTTTCGCCAAGACAGTCGTCAATATTACCAATAATATTATCTATACATTTATTATGCCTAGTGGGTTCATTTATGTAATGCTGTACACCATAATTAAGCATCAGATCCTTAAAAGTGGTACTATTTTTATCTGATAATAACAAATCTATATTAAAATCTCCACAGATAATTATATTCTGTTTTTTATTGTGAAGTCTCGAAAGAGTCTTTTCAAGACTATCAAAAAATATGTTAACATCGGAGTTTGGGGTTCTGTATATACATATTATTATAAGTTTAAGTTTATTTATCATTACACCACACATTTCAAAGTGTTTTTCAATTGCAAATTCTCTTATAGTATCTAGTCTAGTACTTTCATAATCATTTTTACAAAGAATACAAGTACCTCCGCGACGTTGGTTTTCACGAGAGAAAATATCAGCTAGGTAGAAGCCGTTTATGTTGAGGTACATTTCCTCATGCTTTTTGATGAAGTGTTCACTTAAACATACAACTACAACATTTTTTTTTTTGCTCGAGCAGCTCCAGTAGGGCTACGTCCAGGTCCTGCATCTTATTCAGGGCACCCGCAATATTTTGGTGGAATATAGAATACGTAGACTTATTCACGAAAAAAATTATTTACTTTGGGCCGGGTTTTTGTACCAGAATCATTATTTATCGGTTCAACTTGTGACAATTTTTTTATAATGATAGGAAAGTAGTAAGGAATTGTACCTTTTTTTATTTCTACCTTAGACACAGCTTTTTTACCATAAGGATTATTGTTTAATGTTTTCTTAGGGTTAATACAGTTTTGAAGTGTGACATCATTATAAGACAGGAACATTTTATTATATACTCTTACATTGATATGATAAATTATTTGCTGTATAACATTATGTGGTTTTGTCTCTATAAATGTACAGTTTTTATAATTTCGAGTTATTAACTTTAGCTGATCATTGAGTTTACGTTCATTAAGATAATTGTTATGGAAAACATTAACTACATACACATTGCATTTATTAAAATAATGTAACGCTATAGACATTTCAGACAAAATTTCAACTGGGTTGGAGTCATTGCTCCCAGTCATTATAACTACGTGGTCTTTTTTTGAAAGTCTATTACAATAATCATTACAACCTGCCAATACATGTTTCGTTGTGGCGTATGGTTTTGTGATAGACTGTACTTTGTAATCATCAGCAAATAATTTATGCTTGTTTTTTAGTAATGTTTGTACAATACCTTGTCCCTGATTATCTGAGAAGATGAATATTTCACCAGTTTTTTTACTCACGTGAATATACTGAGAAAAGCTTTAGTAGTTTCGAACCACAGAGGGGTTCTTCCTCATGAGCAGCGGGCGTGGTCGCGACGATATCCCGCAGCATACTCAGTAGGTACTCGATACTCAGTGATTAAACCGCGATTTTTAGTTAAACTGTCAAACACCGCGAGGACACCGGTGACCGCAACCTATTGTTCTTTTTGCCTCTAAATTTTTGCTTCTAGCTATTAATTGTGTCTATAATGAATAATGACGGTACTCAAAGGGTTTAGTATGTCTCACGATATTTTTATTATAATTTGACAGGAACCGCATATACTTATGTAAGTAGGTACTACTATAGTGTTGCGATAAATCTAAGTTACTAATTGACTAAAGGAAACTAACTAATTGACTTCTAAAACCATACTTACCGATCTGAAAATGGACAAAGACATACACAAGATAGTGCGGTATAAAAAGAAAAAAAATATAATTACCTTATCAATTTTCTCAACTTTCAACACAGCTAGTACATCCTTAGGATCGTTATCCTGAATAACGCCAAAAATGTTAAATAAGCGTCTAAAAACTACACTACTATGGACGCAGCCGAGGTATAGACAAGGGGTCATTTTGACTATGATAATTCAAAGCAGTTCTACAATTCACTTTTACCTTTATAAATTTTTTATTGACATCCCCTTTTGAATTTGGATTATTTTTACTTCTTTTTCGCGATTTTTTTCTATATTTAATTTTTTTTTAAATAAAGATTTTCAATTGTTTCCTGGCTATGTCCATGCTACAAAAGTAAATGTGCTAAATATACGTAAATGCAATGCACACACTGAAAATGCTGGATCTAGGAATCCTCGTCTAATAGGACCTTAGGTGATAAAGCATACTCAAGTCATTGCAATAACACTCATTGAAATATAAGACCATCACAAAAAATATTAATTTAGTCACAAAACTCCAACAACTTCAATGGCCTTATAAAACAAAAATAATAAAAACAAAGCTAAAGAAATGAATATCTAACAAAAACTTACAAAACCATGATATGTAAAAACAAAGCAAGAATATCTATGGTCAGTAATTCAAAATACTGAATTTAAGAACTACATCTATCTTTCTAAATTCAAACATAACCTGCCTGTCTAAGAAAAAAAAATTACATACAAAACTCTATGGTAAATGAAACTTACTGTGTTCAACATGCGTACAGTCTGGTGATGGAACCTTCGACTTTCAACCTCCATTTGCAAGAGACTCCTTGGTTTTTTTGGAGCGTCGCCGACTGGTAGGCAGTCTATGATGTTCTCCCTCAACTCATTTGGCCTGAATTGTGGATGTTCACAAAGTAAGGGAGATAGAATAATGATTTCATACTCGCAAGTAGAAGTTTCTTTGAATGAGTAGACTTCGTGTTTTCCATAAGTATAGCATACATATAGGACTCTTGTTAGACGAGGTTTGCCACTTAAATCACATACAGTACCTGAAAAAAGTAAAGATTATTTGTTATTGCAGGCATACAATATTAATGATTAAATCAAGGACGTTGAAAAAAAGGTAGACATAGTCTGATAAAACAACGACTGTGGCACCTGGCTACTATAGAATTACATGGAGAACATAAACACATTGACATGAAGGACATCTGTCATTTTCATAAGTCTGGTATCATCAATTACACACACACATACATAATCCACTGACATTTTGGTGCTTCAACCATTTCTAAGTGATATTATGTCCACCTTTTTATCAACATCCTTGGATATGATACTAAATAAGACATTAATAAATTATTCCAGTCTAATTGGCCTGGTAATTACAAATTAAAACCTGAATTTAATTATGCCAAACCTTTAATTATGCTACTATTATATTATACCTGACTCATAATGGCTATGTGGTACTTTTAGGTTCTCGTTGGGTCACTCACTTTATAGGAGATAAATAAAACAGATGTTACGGAACTGAACTGAATATGTATTGCCTCTATGGTGTACAGGCGACGAGTGTGTCGTGCGCACAATGCGATTACATGTTTATACCTTATGCTATAACAGTGTGTGTTCTATGCGATACCTAACCCCTACAACTACTAAGACGCAGCTGCAAGGCAACTGCCCAGTATAATAGTGACGCTTGCAACTGTAGACTTCAGCCTGAATATTTATAGAAACAAAGTTTACCTACCGCTACACTATGTACAGTGCCAGCAAGTTAAACTACTGCTTTCTGGTAAACTTAATTAGATTTTCAACTTTATAGTTCACATATAAAGTCGAAATTCCAATGTCAAAGTTTTTCCAAATTGATCTAGTGGCCACTATACTGATAAATACATTAACATAACATCACGCCTTTTATCCCAGAAGGGGTAGGCAGAGGTGCACATTATGCCACAGTACAATGTAACACCCACTTTTCACTATTTATGAGTCCCATGTAATAGGGAGTGAGCCTATTGCCATATACCGGGAACAATTTAAGACTCCGTGCTACTACTGCGATTTTTTTTTAAGACTCAGTAATACTTTGCCCGACCCGGGAATCGAATCAGAGACCCCTTGCCCAGCAGTCGCACTTGTGACCACTCGGCCAACGAGGCAGTCAGCAGGCAGTAACAAGAGTATACTGATAAATAATAAATTTAAAAGCTCACCATCATCCAACACCATTTCCACGGAAGCCAACTTTGCACCATCAACTGTGGTTATCCTGTAGGGCTCCTTCTTCTCCTTAGCAGCCTTAACTTCAGCCTCAAGCTTCGCATGTTTCTCGGTACTCCAATGACCAAGATAATATTCCTGAGTTTTTACTTGTTTACCTGGAATATCATTTATATTTTTGCTATAATATGTATTTATTATTTAGTCTTTAATGTGCACAATTCAATTAAATATACATAATAACTTAATGTTATGTTTTAATTGAAATATCAACATGCATTACATTTAAATATATTGATTTAGGCTAGACAATAATCCCAACAGTAAGATAGTCTAATTTAACAAATAATTGCCTCTAACTCTAACATGGATACAGAGATTTATATTATAACAATATAGTATGACATAGAAACTAAATGAACACCAAATAAATTGTATATTACCTACAGATAAAATTTTACATTTAAATGAGACAAAAATTAGGTACAATACATAGATACATCAACAAATTAAAAAATTACCTTTGATAAAGGTGTTGCTTGAATGCGGATCTTTTTTCACTAATTAAATTTAACCATAGAGAAAAAGAAACAAATGTTATAATAATTCTTATAAGACCAGTATTCCAATGAGAAAAAAAAAGCAAATTAAAAATATTCTTACCATCTCTTTCTTCGTGGTATTGTCGAATATATCTTCCATGGCACACTTCATAACTCCAATAACTCTCGAGTCTGTATGAACATATTTTTTGAGAGAATAATGGCTTCAGAAGAGTCAAGGGAGATGGACCTTCATACTCTTCGATACTAGTCGATTCTTTATCACGAAGTTCAGGTATTCGGCACTCATAGCTTTCCTTATTTGCAGTCGTCACTTTCAAGATCTCTTTTTTCGGTAGCTAATGGGAAATAAAGTGTTCTTGTTAGAGATAAAATGGTTTATACAATTGAGAGCATTCAAAGTGGTAAAGAAATCATTTTACTAAATAATTTTACAATATTCTTGGTTGTATAGTGCACCATTTAGTAGTATTAATAGTAGGTCCATTTAATAACAAATATAATTAGCACAGACTGACAATTTTACAGTTTTATTAACCATATTAAATTGGACTTTCCAGTCCAATAAACTAGTTACAAAAAATATTCCAGATTACTTTCAATACGTGGCCGAGTCTTAATAGTAGTTCACCAATATTTTAGTTACCTCTAGTTTATTTACTTCCCCATCGACTAGGTGCTGGATATCCTGGTTTCCCGGCCAGTTGATCCCAAATAATATGGTATCGTCAAATCCTTTAAAATCATGTTCTATGCTCGATGCTAATTTCACCACACACAAACAAAGCACCAAAATACACCGCATTGTAAGCGTCTATAATGTCATAATAAATTAAAACTTAGAATTATTCACTATTTTTTAATAATTACTTCTTGCACCAGCATTTGCAAACAAATTATTATATGACTGGATTACAGAAAAGCATTTTTAGAACGCCAGCCTACAATTCGATGTTCTTTCCAATTTGGTCAGATATTTTTTCAAGTGACTGATGTGAGTTGGAGAGCTGTCATTAGTCAAACTTACAGTCGCGTTCGAAAATTATTATTTATGAAGAATACAATTTAATGGCTTTCATTAAATTGGTTTGTTTGAATTATTTATTAGGTGCATAGGTGCAACGTGTATTACACGTTGTACATCCTTAACATTTTAATGAATAGTACGGATATAGAAATCCTATTTCCTTAATTATCAGAATCCCAAAAGTTACAGATTTCTTGGGCAACCCAAAGACTAGTTTCTCCTTTCGAAAAACAATAATCACATTGTCTATGATAGTTCTTGTCATTGATTGTCTGTTGTGACTTCTGTCAAACTACTTGGTGTAATTTTGTGAAAATGGCGTTCAGCTTTCCAGCCTTTTCCTACATTATAGCGTTAATAGTCGACGCATTCTTAATATTCTTCTCAATATTCCATGTTATTGCGTTTGACGAATTAAAAACTGACTATAAAAACCCTATAGATCAATGCAACAGTCTTAACCCGGTACGTATTTATACCTGTGGGTGCAACCAAAGTTCACCGAAGTTCATCTGAGTATCTAACCTATATTTCTATTTCAGCTGGTATTACCGGAGTACTTGCTGCATTTATTAATAAACGTGCTGTTTTTATTGTCTGGAGAATGGTTTTCACTGCTCATAAACATTCCATTGATCTTGTATCATCTGCACAGGTAAATATATTTTATGGTATTAGGTTATGTTATTATAATCTTGAGGACAGTGTAAGGACAAGTTCTTTTGACTACAATGAAGTGCCACCTTGAATGCTATTTTACACAGAATACAAATAAAATTCTTGCTACATGTCCAGACAAACTTACACCTGATTTTAATACTTATAACTGAAAAGATCTTAATTGTAAATAGTTTATGTTCACACTGAATGTTTATAGTTATTCAATGGGGTATTAAGTTAATTCTTAGGTTTATTAAAATCTATCCTTAAAAAGATTGAATAGTTATGATATTAAACAGTTTATGTCCTCGTTATAATTTTATTGTAATCACGTTTAAGGAAAATAATTAAACGTAATTAAAAGACTCTGTAGGTAACAACACATATGTAAATGTTTTATTCAAAACTAATCATTAGAATAATAGATTCTACAATTTACAAGTTAATCAACCTATATAAGCAATAATGAGTAATGCTAGACTGCTTTGTCATTGTGCTAATGAGCCAACAAATTAATATTTTATATGCTATCTTAATTTGTGTTGAACTTTACACCTCCCATTTTAATCTATACTCTACTATATACCTAATATTACATAGCTCCAGAGTTTGTTCAGTTGAACACAGTAATCTCCATAAGTACTATTCCGAATTTAAAAAAGATTTTTGCATTGAGCAGTCCATTTATCAAAGAAGGCCGTAAGCCATTAAATGTCATGTTATGCCCAGCAAATTAAATGGCTCGGACCTTTTAAATTGTCAGACAGATACCTATTAACCACTTAAACAGAGATACATAATCAAGCCATAAAAAAAATCTTAGTATCTCATGCTCACAATCTGTAATGTAATGTTTGTCAATCATTTGATAAGATAATTCTAGAATTATCTGCTTCATGATACAAAATGTGTCAAAATATTGAGCGTTCTTTGATATAGGTACAATTTTCATTTTAGGAACAATTATTTTTTTAATTTTTTTTTGAGTCACTATTGTTTCTTGATTACAATTAGTTGAATATCAGTCTTTTGGCCTAATTGACACCAATAGCAAACCGCATACTTAAGCATTGTATATCTTGCGATAGTTACTATACTAGCTAATATTGTGCAGTTTCACACGCTTTACTCGGCTCGGCTCCTATTGGTTGTAGCATGATGTCTTATAGGCTATAGCCTTCTTTTATAAATGGACTATCCAACACAAAACAAATTATTCAAATTGGGCCAGTAGTTCTGGACATTAGAGTGTTCGAACAAACAAATATATTCTTCAGCTTTACATAATTACAAGTAGTATCTAAATAATATAAAATATGCTTCAACTGCTTGAGGATGTTATTACACAATAATTGTAAAATAATGTAACTTAATTAACATTTCAGATACTACACAAGGCCCGTAATGTCGGGGCCAGGTCTCTACGACCCGACTAGCATCATGAATGCTGATGTACTAACAGTCTGCCAGAGGGAAGGCTGGATCAAACTTGCATTTTATTTGTTATCTTTCTTCTTGTATTTATATGGGTAAGAACTATTTCATAGTTATTCATTTTAGTTTTTCTTATTTGTGAATAGTTATCAGGGGGCATACTCTTCAATCCAATTCCGATCGATCGACATTGGTATTGTGAAATTTCGTACTCTTGAGTTGCAACACTAACGCCCATTGCATCTGTATTGTGTGGATATTTAATTAACTAAACGATATTGAGTTTGGCTTTATATTCCGTACTCTGTATGCTATTTTAACAGCCACTATAGAGGTTGTATAGTTTTGACATTGAATAATTATTAAGACTATTGGATTGAAATTGCATTGACATTGAGATTGGTTTCAAGAGTAAGCACCTTGGTCAGCAAAATGAACTGCTATTGGACTTTAGGCTTAATCTCCTATTAGGGGATTAGGGTTTGCCATAAATTCATGTGTGTGTAGCAGGCATCTTAGTCTTAACAAGATTCCATTAATTTGGAATAATAATGTATAACTTGGTATTTTAATGTTAGTAAAATTATAACATAACTTATATTATTGTAGTTAACAGTTGAGAAGAAACAGTTGCAATAAGATTATAATTCTCTAAACGACATACCTAGCTATAATAAAAGAAATAAATAATATGTTGACCAGATGTGACTGCCTCGTTGGCCGAGTGGTTGCAAATGCGACTGCCGGGCAAAGGGTCTCGGGTTCGATTGACGGGTCGGGCAAAGTATTACTGTTTTTTAAAAAATTGTTTTAATAACACTGAGTCTGGAATTGTGCCCGGTATATGGCAATAGGCTCACCCCCTATTACATGGGACTCACGTGTTACATTGTGCAGTGGCACAATGTACACCTCTGCCTACCCCTTCGGAGATAAAAAGATGATATGTTATGTTATGATAAGATGTGTCAAGTAATCTTAAAGATTGGTTGGAACTCTTTAAATCACATTAAATGTCTACTTTAGTACGTAATCTTCGCTCTTGATTACACATCAATTGTTCTAATGAACTAACGAATGCGCCAATTATCATTCTGTCCAAATCTTCAAGGTCAACATAATTGTTTTCGAGGTCAATCTCAATGTACGGTCAGTTATCTCGAAGTTTCTTTGTTTGAAAATCGAACACAGAAGACTAAATTCAAACACAAGATAATAAATACGAAATTCATAAAAGAATAAATAAATAAGAGCGTATAAGTATACTCGTATACATATATTATGCTCCAAAAAGAAACTAATGGCAATGTCAATTACGCAATCGTTTACCGCGTCGAGCACTAATCTTCCTCTATGAAAAAAGTAAAAAAAAACTACAGTAAAAAATCACAGATTCAATGTCAATGCATACAGAGAGTGGTGTGACAAATGTACGGTTCTTGCCTTTACGTAGCTAGCAGGGTCAAAAAAGAAAACATTCCAAAAATATCCAGTGCCTTCCATCAAGATATTATATTAGCATGATAAATACTTTTTATTCAAATAATTGAAAACTCCTCCCAAATAGTTTGTTAAACTAACTACATTTTCCGCTAGTGGCTTCACCAGTGTGAAATTAGTTTTCTTTTGAGAAGGGTCCTATCCTATAGAAATACTGAAAGAAAAAGCCGTCTGAAAAGTAAGCTTAAGCTAATAGAATCTTTACTCTAATTCTATTAAAGATAAAGTCTAATTTCGCTTAATTTAACTAACTAATTTCTATCTATTGTTCCAGAATGATCGTTGTGCTGATAGCGGCATGAAGCGTCGAATACTGGTGTTTCGTTCCAATAAGTCATAATTAATTTATTGTTAGCCCGCGGCTATATCGTGTGTCCGATGAACAAGGAATGTTGTATAGTTGAGACTTCGCAGTATTTTGATAATTAAAGTAAAAACTAATTATATTGCTTTTTATTTCTTTGTCGACCAACTAGCTGTGCCCGCGAGTTGGTCCGCGTGGAATAGTTATTCACTGCGCCTATTCCGTAGGTGAATAATATGTAGCCTATATGGTGACCTTACTTTTCCGGCCGGACAGCATACATACATACAGACAAAAATTCTAAATTCTTTAATTTTGGCTTTGATATCGATGGTAGATCACGCTCCAGGTATTCTTTTGAAAAAATATTCAATGTATAGTTTTTACTTTCCTACGATTTTATTATATGTATAGATTGATGAATCAAATCAAATAAACATAAGGTCGGCGTCACACAGGCCTGAACGTTGGCTCTAAGTATTGACTACATTCAACAAGATTAGGCTAGTAATAATGACAAAACCTATTAAGTTTTCGATGGAAATATCTATTAATAAAAACTAACTCATCCTACTCTATTGATTGGAATTACCTGGCTATAACAAAACCTGGGCACTTACTCTTGAAACCAATTTCAATGTCAATCCAATAAAGGAGAACGGCAGATTTTGTACCGCTTCGCTAAAAAAACATTTGTCATTAAAAAATTGGGTCATTATAGAACCTCCTAAGTACGTTATGTTAGCATATTTAATAGATTTTTAAAACTTGGGAAACCCTAGAAAAACTGATATTCAATAATGATAAAAAGCAATCCACTATACGTAAAACGAACCGCGATTGACGTTTACAAAGTTGCCATGCGTAAAGATGAAATCAGAGCATATTGAATTTCGCTATTTCATAAACTCATTTATTTTAATATCTATCAATGAAATATTTTCCTTTTCATTTCAAACATTTTTAAAGTAAATATTAAAAATCTACATCCAATCTAAATCTACGTTTACATGGATTATTAATGAAATTAACATTTAACAAACTTGAATATTATGCAATGTTGAACTGGCATTTGTCATGAACATTGACAATTAATTTGTCAATACTGGCGCATTGCTGTTTGTTTCAAATGCGATGTTATGATGTGTTTGTTGAATTTGAAGTTATTTTATTCATCTGGTGATACGTTGAGTTTGGCAACCGTTCCTCCGTAGCCCAAATTGGTATTATTGGAATCATTGTTGTGACAATTGCGAAAAGACACTTATTTACATTGTTTTGTGCAGTGTGTTGTTATTTGTCGCGATGATGAATTTACAGTGTATTAATTGCATTCAGAGTTTGTCGCACATGAGACGGCATGCTCTAGAAAATGAGAGTGAAGATTAGAGTGGTCAACAATATCCCAATGTGGACTTATCCTAGAGATGTAAGTACCTAGTTTACCCAAACATATCGAAAGTCACCATGTTGCCTGAATAAAAGAAGGCGCATAGTGTTATCTACCCATAATGTATCATTTTATTCTTTTTATTCTAGATCTCTCCTACGACCATATTTGCAATGCTTGCTGGCAATTAGCAATGTATCAGGATGTTGCTGAAAGTATGTCCAGCAAACAAATTGGTCACTGGCATGTTTGTGTCGTATAGGGTGATTCATTGCAATGATAAGGTGACGCAGGTTTTAATTGAAGGCGCCAACAAACAGGAGTAAAGACTGGCTCATATATATTTGATTGGATTCAGCCACAAGAGGTAATAAAGCATAATTTAACCATACTATTATCTATATACAGTGTAATCTAAAGTCAATATCATATTCTAATAATATTACTTATTTTAGCTTACTTCCCATGATGAAGATCATGTTCCATACTGACTGAGAGACCGTACAAGAGTCGAAACTATAAAACCACAACCTGACATACCACCTCACAGTGTTCACTATCAGGAAGTAATGTATTATGTAAACATGGACTAAGCCTCACTTTAACATTGCCATTTGTAGAACAGATGAGGCCGGATGATGTTGTTCAGCTCTCAAAGCTTCAACAGGTATGCATTCTCAATATAATGTACCTACATAATTATGTATCTATGTGGAGTATATAAGCGGTTTCTAATAGGTTTATACTCATGTTATAAATATAATTTATTAATTAGCATGCTCTTTGAGCTCCTATGATCTGTGTTATACGAATAACTATAATAAATGTTATAAAATGAAGTAATGTAATCAAATATTTATTTTTTCTTTTTTCCATTTTAAGATAGGGAATCAGACTTATTATTATAACATATAAAACTAAAGGAAAAAATGTACTTTTGTTTACTTTATTTACAGTTATCTTACTTGTTTACAGATATCAGCAATTGATGTCTGCTGTACCTATGACACGGCCTGTTCTCTTTTTAGATGAAGTACTCCTAGAAACAACCTGAATACAATGAAATATAAGTATTTCAAAATAATACATTTGTTTTATTTTAACCTAGTAAGTAACTATATATTCCATCTTGATAAAAGTGATTTTAAGAATCAATCTATAAAATAAATGCCATATTTATTTTTAGATAGCTTTAGTTTTATACCAAAAATGTTCATTTTCATTTTACATTTTCTTTAGTTGTAATGTGGTGCCCAGAGGTTTAAGAAGCCCGCTTCTCATGCATGAGAGTGCGGGTTCGAAACCTACCAACGGCAAAGTACCTTTTGTCCAATGTGTCTTTTTTCCGAGTTATTGGTATATTCAATAAGAAAGTACAAAGACACCGCTGACGAATGGTGAAGGAAACATTGTGAGGAAACATGGGCTTATAATTTCTTATTATAAGTTTGAATTACCAACCCACATTGAGCTAGTATGGTGATTAATGCTCAAACCTCCATGCGAAGAGAGGCTTCGGTCAGCAGTGGCCACTTATAGACTTAATGATGAAAATGTTGATGATTCTACTAATTTGACTTACTTATTAGAAATTAATCCTTACATGCGTGCTAAGCAACCAGTTTTCAGAAGAAATACTTTCTCAAAGAGCTAAGCTAAGTTTAAATCGAATTAACTTGAGACCCTTGAGACTATCTACCTGCAAGATTCAAGGTGAAGTGAGACATTAGTTTTATCATATCCACCACAAGACTTCCACTGCTAAATGTAGCCTTCTACCCAATGACAGTCGCTTACATTAGAATTGCATTTTCGTAGGCACCTAAGAAATGAAAAAGATTGTGAGGCATACTCTTTAAAACTCTATAGGTGCATCATGCTTGCTGAATTAACAGGATCATTCCTAATTGCCTTTTGCGCTGCGACGCACCATAGGTTATTTTTTGGGTTTCTAAATTCTTGTTGTGTGTCGTAGCAAAATAAATGGTTTTTCTTTCTTTCTTTCTTTCTAATAATACAAAGTGTAATAGTCACTTGAGTAGCGAGCAGTATTTTTAGATTTTTGTTTTTTGTAAATAAACAACCACATGAGAGCACATTGACATTTTTCAGTTAACTGTCATCTGTCATTTGTAATAGATATTTTGCTTACGGTGGCTCTACACTTGACGTTGCGTATTTGTTGTGTTCGGCCAAAAAAGAACATGTTTGGAGGATTTATTCTTCTTTGTTTGCTATATATTTGCACGCCATTACATATAGAGATACTATTTGGACGCCATTTGTACGAAGTCTACAAATATTTGGACAAATGAAGCGACTACGCAATGTCAAGTGTGGTACCACCTTAACATACCTTTTGCACATTTTCAAAGTGAAATAACTTTTGAACCCCAAGTTCTAAAAATATGTAATTTTTTTCTAAACTTCATAATAAAAATATCTATCGTTCAGACTATTCACTTGGTTAAAACAATGACTAATACAAAATTTTATAGCGGTACAAAACTTCCATACAAACCTGCCATTCTCCTTTCAATAATTATTCAATGTCAAAACTATACCACTCCAATCGTAGTACAACGTATAGATTATACCTAAAACCAAACTCAATATTATTTAGTTCATTCAATATCCACTCAATATGGATGCAATGGGCGCTAGTCTTGCAACCAAAGCCCCCTAAACAGTTCCTGCGTCGCGGAGAACCTAACGGGTAACCGGGGCTCCGGCTCGACGTGCAGGAGAAGGAACGGGGTGGTTTTAGTCAGTAAGAGTCTGACACTCCCTTCCGCCTCACCCAGGCGGGAGCAGTCATTCGATGATTTTCCCCCCTTAAAAAAAAAAAAACAGTTCCTGCGAACTTAGAGCAAACAAAATTAAAACGTCAAAATGTAAAACATTTTATACAACATACTTGACCGGCGATGATGAGCTTACCATCAGGTGATCCGTTCCGCTCATTTGCCTCTTAATCCATAAAAAATAATACTTATAGTGTGGTACGTAAAACTTATGTGGTAAAGAGATGTTCCACGTCCGAGCACCGTCCATATCACAAGTATCACACTAACTTAGAAGTAGTTATATATAATTATTTTATTATGTAGGTACATACCTAGGTATGCAATCACGTTTATCGACACGAGTTGTCATTTGACGTGGAGAACTAAGGGGAGGCATTTGTCCAGCTGTGGACGTCGTCCGGCTGTTGATGATGATGAGATAGTATATAGCATATAGCACATGTAGGTACTCCATGATATATTATACATTTCCTATCGGAAAACTCATGGTTCTTTATAAGTAATGTGATGTCCCATTTACCAATTAAGATAACAGTTGATAGGTATTCAACTAACCTTAATAGCCCTTCATTTCAAAATAGGCAGATAAGGTAACTTAGGTAACAATTTCGTCACTTGAGAACTGAATTGGAGATATCTAATAAATACGTTGTAACAGAGGCGTAACTCCTAAGTGGCAAGTTGGCAAAATGCCACGGGCCCCGTACTGGCAGGAGCTCCAGTTCAGGAATTCTCATCTTAAGTACCTATTCAATGAAATAATAATAATATGTTAAGAGATAAATATAGGTATGTTAGGTA